TTAAATATTTTTAGAAAATATGTTTAAAAATTTATTTTCTAATTAAATATTTTCAAAAATTAATTGTTGGATTAAAAATTCATTTCATATAGATTATGTATTTTAATTTTTAAATTATTCCAATAAATCTAATCACTTTGTTGATTACAAGAAATTCAACACTGCTAAATATATATTAATAAATAAAATTTCTTTCATAAAATAGTTATAAGTGTTAGATTAATATAAAAATTAATATGCATAATTTACATCAATATAATTCTCAATCAACAGTTAATTTTTAAATATATTAATTAAAATATAAGTTTTCAAATAGGTTCTCAAAAAAAATTTAAGAAGACAACTTGCCTAATACCATTCTCATGTGTGTGTATATATATATATATGTTTGTTTCCATATTTCATTTGGTAAATGTAAGGATTTATACCTCCTATATATGGTTCGAATTGGTAATTTGAACTTTAATATATATATATATATATATATTTGCTTATTTATGCTTCGAATTTTCTAGTGATGAAGATTAGAACCACATTTTTATGTTTTATCCACGTTATATATTACGTTTCAGGACCCTTTTTAATGGCGGACATAGCAGGGGCAATCTTCAGTGCATTGAGCTGCATTTGTGGCACTCCAACCTGCAACTGTATGGATCAATATAGAAATTTTAATGATGATGTGGGTGAGCTGAGAAGAAAATTGGACAGTCTAACTAGCCAGAAACAAGATATAGAATCAAGAATACAAGTGGCAGAGTCTCGCAGGGGACAAATGGTTAGACGACAAGTGCAAGAATGGCTTAAGCAAGTACAAGACATTAATGTTGATGTGCAAGCATTTTTAGACAAGGTGCAGGGAGTCAGGTGGTACAAGCGTGCCTGTCTTGAAAAACTTGTTTGCAGAAAAATTAATGTGGTGACGGAAATGCTTGAAAAAGGGAGTTTTCCTGAAGGCCTTGTGATTGAGAGAGCTCCAGCTTGTGCAGTCATAATTCCAACAGAGAATTTAGTGGGGGAAATTTCTACTAAAGAAGAAATTTGGGGGTACTTGATGGGTGATGAAGTTGGAATGATTGGAGTCTGTGGGATTGGTGGAGTTGGAAAGACTACGATCATGAAGAGTCTCCACAATGATTTACAGAGGGAGACTAGATTTCAGAAAGTGATCTGGGTTACTGTATCACATCCTCTCAATGTTTTTGTATTACAAAAGAAGATTGCTGGTGCTATGGGCGAAAGACTTCCAGAAGATGAAGAGGTGATGATGCGAGCAACGGCTCTAATGGAAATAATGAGAAGTGTGAGATATGTGGTAATATTAGATGATGTATGGGAGACGTTCTCTTTTAATGATGTTGGAATTCCGGATCCGAAGGCACAGAATGGGTGCAAAGTAGTTATTACCAGTAGATCAATTGAAGTATGTAGTTATTTGTGTTGTAAGATTGTCGAAGTGCACCCTCTTTCACAGGAGGAGTCTCTAAAGTTATTCCTCAATACAGTTGGGGATGGTGTTTTACAGGTTGCAGGGTTGGAAGACATCTTGAAGCTTATTG